GCAACAATGAGATGAACAAATTACTTCAAGACTGTCATGCAGGACTGAAGCAGGCACAAGAGATGTTTGGTGTATGACTCATTTGTGTCTCTTTGCCATGGCTTAACATTATCTATATAGATTCAAACACAGACTCAAACATTGGATGAGATCACGGAATTCAGAAAGACAGCCAACCTGATGCATAAAGAAATGATGGAGCTGATTGAAAATCTTTCCGAAACTACAGTGTCGGAAAGGTCATCGGTTTGTAAATTGTTAGCACTCTATGCACCTTCCCTTAGCTTGAGTAGGTTTATCTGGGTGTCAATGAATTGAAAAATAGGTAAATGATCAGTTTGATGATTCAATCATTCCTTACATCTTGTTTCAAGCTCAAATTCATTTTCAATGCTCCCCTCAAAGCCCAAAATTTTCCATGGTCGTGAACAAGAGCTGAACCACATTCTTAAATTGATCAATCAACAGCCACCTAGGATTGCTATTCTGGGAGGTGGTGGCATGGGCAAGACAAGCCTTGCAAGAGCAGTGCTTCACCATCCAGATACCTCTTCCAAATTTGAACACCGATTCTTTGTCAGTGCTGAAGCTGCAACCACCAGTGTTGAACTTGCAGCACTTATTGGATTGCATGTTGGATTAAAACCTGGCAATGATCTCACAAAGCCTGTTGTCCAGTATTTCTCAAGGAACAGGTCCTGTCTTCTGATCTTGGACAATCTAGAGACAGTTTGGGAGCCAATTCATTCTCGAGCTGGAGTTGAAGAGTTCTTGTGCCTCCTTACCAGTCTTGAACACCTTGCATTAATAGTATGTCCACAGTTCTTGGGTTAAGCTTCATTTATAACACCCTCCAGATCACAATGCGAGGGGCTGAGAGGCCTGCCAAAGTTGCATGGACCCATCCATTTTTGTTGCCATTGCAACCTCTCTCAAATGATGCTGCAAGACAAACTTTTATTGAGATTACAGACAATTCCAACACACTTGAAGAAATGGAGCAACTTCTGGGATTCACAGATAATATGCCACTGGCTGTTGATCTCATTGCTCATCTGGTTGACTACGAAGGCTTCTCCAGTGTTCTTTTACGTTGGAAAACAGAAAAAACATCTCTGCTTTCTGTTGGTTTTGACCGGCAATCCAGTGTAGATGAATCCATCAGTCTTTCTCTGTTGAGTCCTCGAATCACATCTGACAGCAAGGAACTCTTGAGTCTCCTCTCAATCCTCCCAAATGGACTTTCTGAAGCAGAACTTGTGCAGGGCAAGCTTGGTATTTCAGATATTCTCACTTGCAAGGCAGCATTGCTGGCCACTTCATTGGCATATATTGACAAAAATCAGCGACTGGTGCTACTAATGCCCATCAGAGAATATGTGCAGCAGTTCTTGCCTCCTTCTCAGTCCTGTATACAACCCATTCACAATTATTTTCATGCACTTTTGCTGCTATACAAAAAACATTTTGGAGAGCAGGTACAACCTTTGACCCATCAAATAACCTTAAACCTTGCAAATTTGCAGAACATTTTGCAGTGGGGGTTGCATGCCCATGCCCCAATCCTTGCAGACACAATCCAGTGTGCATTGATTGTGAACAACCTTTATCGTATCACTGGACGTGGCTATTTCTCTTTAATGAACAATATTTGGTCTCCCTTGTCTCAACTCTGTGATCACCAACTTGAAATCCAATTTCTCATTGAACTTCTCAGCACCCGGCATTGCTATGAAGTGGTGTCAGAGGCAATGATAGCACAAGCTATCAGTTGTGTTGAGCATACAAAGGATCCTGTTCTTGGGGGTGAGCACCACTCCTTCCTGCAGGCATTTCACATCTAATACCCATTATGATAGCCAAATTTTATGAGGCTGCAGGGCGTTATTCCCTTTACCATAAAGGGGATGTAAAACAAGCAAGTCAATTTCTTCACAAGGCACTAGAAAAATCAGAGCTTTGTGAGAGCAGCAAACAGCAGTGCATTGTCATGTTTTACCTTGGTTGTTTAAAATTGTCCACTGGCAATTACAGTGCTGGGATGGCTTATGCAACTGCAGCACAAAAGGTATCTAAAGTAGCAGGACATTTGTATCAGGAGGGTTCAGCAAATTACCTAGGAGCCCAGTTGTATTGCCACCTTGGGGACTACCAAAAGAGTATGGCACAACTCCACAGGGCTGCAGAGCTTTTGCATATCTGTGGCCTGTCAGAAGGTGTTCTTGCTCATGATATAACATTGGCCCGGGCAGAAATCCATCTCTTGAAATCAGAATATCCAGAGGCGAGACACCTCTACTGTCAAGTCACTGAAACTACTTCTGCTGAAGACAATCCTTTTTCCTATGCAATGTCACTCCTCAATGTTGCAGTAATTGACATGATGATCAGCGAGGCTAAAGAAGATATTTACCACAAGTTGCAAGTAGCCCAGGAGATCTTAAAGAGGGATAGTTATATAAACATCGCTATCTGTGGCATAGTGCAAGCTATGGTAGAGCTTGGAGATGAGAAATTTGACTCAGCAAAGGCCAAATTCCAAGAGTGTCTTTGCTTGTCCTGGGGAAAAAATGCTGAATTTAGAAATTTCTGCCTGGAACAATTAGCCAATATCAAAGCCTGGCCTGCTAACATGTGGGAATACAAGTGGCCCATTATCTATTTGGCATGTGCTAGCAGATCCAAAGGTAAATTGGACCTTCACAAAGCACTTCTCTTTCTCGGAGATGCATTTATTGCCAACAATGATGAAAATTCAGCTGCCAATCTCTATCAAGTGGCCCTGGCAGGATTTACCCGAATGGATGTGCATCACAGCCGAGCACAATGCATGCTCCGTCTTGGAGATCTGGCAAACAAATGTGGATGTACCTCAGAGGCAATTACCTTCTGGGAGACTGCTTGGCCACTATTTGAGCGGGCATCACAGACCAAAGATGTAGCCCAAATTGACTCCAGGATTGCAACCTGGGAGAAATATCATCACCAAGCTCTTGTAAAACTAGAAACTTTGCATGCACCTATTCAGTTGGGGAAAGAAGAAACCTTGGAGATTAAAGGTGAAGATTCCGTTGATAAGGATGCTGAAGAGTGCACAGTCCCAATCACAGTGTGATAGGTGACTAACTCAGCCCCTTTCTGGCCTTGTATCAATTTCTTGCTATTGATGTTTGATCTCATTTATTTATCAATAACTGCAGATTTTGTGTTTTTTCGAAGCCTTGTCCTGTACCTATTTATCCTCCAGTTCAGTAGTGTATTTATTTATTGTTTGCATGTTGAGAGTTGGTTGTTTATTTATTTATTTATCAACACACTGGTTGCATTTTCCAGAATGAAATACCTGGATCAGCTGGTATAACCACAAGGCTTGCGAAAAGACACCATAAAGACAGATAATGAAATACATACACAAGCATAAGTAATTGAGTGAATTCCCCTTCCTGATCTTACTCCCAGGCCCTTTTATAATATATCCATGAACTGCTTTATCCATCTGAATCCTTCTCCCCTGTTCCACCAAGTTTTGTTGATGGGGAACAAAGCCAAAACCAAAACCAGAATAAAATGAGACCTGTCTGTCCATCTGTCCAAGCCCTGACAGCTCCGCGATCAGATTAACCTGCTAAATTGGATCGATATCCAGGACGCTCAAAATTCATGTATTCATTTGGTTTGGATATGGGAGTGCCAGCCATAACATAGCCAAGTTCAGCTGGTGTATCTATCCAATGTCCATACATCTCTCCAGTGCAAAATTCAATGAAAGGAAGACGCTTCAGACGAGTTGTGAGCCAGCTTTGAATTCGGCACTCAAACAGCCGCCCCACAGAAACTCCCTCATCACAAGTTCTCAATCAAAAATTGAATGGATATACTTCAGCCATGAGTTCCGTGCATTATAATATTTGTATTGAACCAAAGTGGTGGGCACGAGGTGCTCTTGTGGATGGATGATCATTGAGACAGAGATCCAGACAGAGCCCCCCCCCCCAAAACAAAAAAGCTTTCAAGTAAAGCAATCTGAGAGCAGGTATGTACATATGTACTATATATACACACAAGAAGAAAAGAATAAGAGAGGGCCCGGAAACAGTACAATAGATGGTGTAGATGCCATGTGCCAATCCGTTGGGTGCTTAGAAGTAGGATTGGGATGAATGATGTGGAAGGGTGGGATGGACCCCTCGTCGCCATTCCCCCTATATGCACCTCCTCGCTTACTCCTCGGTACATCGGATATCATTCCGTTTTTTTTTTTTTTGTACGTACGTTTGTTACGGAATCCTCCTTTTGATCCCGAACCACCACGATTGACGCGACCAGTGACAAGAGAGTTTCACCGTGAGCTCGTCGCCAGTGAACTATTTCCATACGAGAACTGAATCAGTGCTATCCTCGAGTCCTTCCGAGCTTCACCCGTATCTCACACCCACACAGCACATTTCATATTTCCCACCAGATTTCTATTCCACGCCTTCACACTATTTCTGGGACCTTTTGTCGACCTTTTGCTTCACCCATACACACTATATTCCGGACTATCGACCCGACATTCTGTTTACCAGCAATGAACTCCGTTCTGCGACAATGATGTCCAAAGTTCAGGTTAGATAGAACCCAGCGGGGACAAAACAAAACAAAACAGAGCAGAACAGAACCAACACACACAGTAAACTGCAGATGTACATAGAATATAGTGGACAAGGGAGAAAAAGATTGGAGAGCAAGGAAGTCCTAGATGCCCAACCTAAAACAAAGAAAACTTGGAGCAAAGATACCCGACCTGTGATACGGATCTTTAGGGGCTTACCATGAGGAAGAGCTCGGACTAGGATCGCGGGAGCGCTCGCTAGTCCGAGATGAATAAGATGGGTGGGTGCTGCCGACTCAGGCGTGCACCGCCGTTGTGACCCTTTGGCAAGGGAACATGTGACCCTGGTTAGGGACCTCTGCAGCACCGAGGTCGTGGAGCCTTTTTACGCTTGCTCAGGCAGGCAGGGCCTCACCGGAAATCTAACCTAGAACACTTGCAGTTGCTCACATCACCGCAGCCCAAAGCAAGTATCATACCTCTGGACCATGAGGCCGTGGTAGGGTTCGCGTAGTTTTGGCCTATACACAATCTCTTCTGCTCTCCGGTTCTCATCCTTGACTTGACTTGGCGCATGGAGTTATCGGCGTCAGCAGGGGTGACTGAATCCAGCGAGGTGGGTAAACTCTTGTTGACGTAGTGGCTCGGCGCGCCATATAGCCGATGCGACGGTCGCTCCCAACCGTCCGCATATAAACATCATTCCCCTGCCCCTAATGGTTACTTAGCTACCTATTTCAATCACCTACATATACTGACTCCAAACGGGATCATACCTCAGTCGTTCACCTTATCGTGCCCCGACTGAGGTATGTTCCCTTCACCCTCATTTACTTATTCTCTTACTTATTTATTCCCGGTGTAGCTCTATTGTTTACAGGTATATTCAATACAGTCGTTCACCTTATCGTGCCTCGACTGAGCTCTATTTTTTACAGGTTATGGGCCCCGCCTATTAATCTTGCTTCCAATAAACTCAGGCACATCCTTACCGTATGACTCAATTAACTGTCTGTTGAACAGACCTTACTCGCAAAGACTCGTTGCACTCTACTTGCTGCTTCCCGGTTGCGCTACCCCTGAGCTAAACAGCTATGTGGAATTCTACCAATATCCCGCTTCTCCCTGACTCGGAGAAGTTCGATGGTACTGGATTCCCTGGTTATAAGACCAAGTTCGGAGCAGTCGCCAAAGGCCGTGGCATCTATGGCTATTTTGACGGCACTATCCCGCAACCCACGGCACCGACTGCCGCTGGTGCCGCTGCCGCAACCACCACTCTACCCGATCAGCCAACCCCCATCTACTCCACCTCTCCTTCCTACGCCGAATGGGTTCACTGCGATGCCTTGGCCACTGCGATTCTTGTTTTGAACGTCAAGAACCCAATTGGCCTGGGTCTCAAGGTCGATGGGACGGCAAAGCAGGCATGGGATTCGCTTGAGGACAACTACAGTCAAGTTTCCGAGATGGGGTTAGTTAATGCCTGCGCGAACTTCACACCGCGTACCTTGTCCCTGGAACTCCTATGTCCGATCATGTTACCCGTCTCCGCACCCTTTGGCAAGCAGCGAACGAGATGGGTGCGGCGATCGATGACCCTGGCTTCCGCTCAATTTTTATCTCGCTCCTGGGCGAGGAGTGGGATGCCGTTGTCCCAGTCTTGCACACATTCAAGACGTCTGCGGAAGTCATCAGCTTCGTTAACATGCATGCCGAGAGGATCCGTAACTGCACACCTGCCGTTCCTCCCACTGCCCTCAACATTAATACCCAGGACCCTCGTGATGCTCGGCGTGCTGCACAGCGCGGGCTGATCTGCACTAATTCGCAATGCGGCGCCCCTGGGAAGAGATGGCATAGCATCGGAGACTGCTTCCGGCCAGGGGGAGGAAAGGAGGGTCAGTGGCCCGCTTGGTGGAAGGGGAAAAAACCTGCCTTGCCGCCTACTGCCGCACCCGTTTACACCTATCCCCCTGTTCAGGGTACCATGTTCGCCCTCGCCATGTGGTCGACTCCGGAGGCTGTCGTATCCGTTTTTTTTTTTTTTGGTTTTTTTTTGAATCCTTGTTAAGAAAAAGACAATGTGCACAGCTTTTTTTGATAAATCAGGTGATAAAGTCACGAGTTGATTCTCACGGTGGCGCCACACGGGCGCCCTCTCGGAATCCGCTGTGTGCGGGCAAGCTCGGAATCTGCTGTGTGCGGGCATCTCCGTGGCGAAGACATGGGTCTTAAATCTTGTATACATAAAAAGACAATGTGCACAGTTTTTTTTGATAAATCAGGTGATAAAGTCACGAGTTGATTCTCATGGTGGTGGTGCACGCCGCGAGCGTTAGCAAGCGGCAGTGTGGTCCTCTCGGAATCCGCTGTGTGCGGGCGAGCTCGGAATCCGCTGTGTGTGGGCATCTCCGTGGCGAAGACACAGGTCTTAAATCTTGTAACAGATCGCGCAGCTCTACCCTCCCTGACACATCACGTGACTTTCCTTTTCGGGAAACGATTACGCCTCGCGATGCGTTTTAATTCTTTTGTTTTGGTCATTTAATCTGTTATATTCCATGTGCTGATACACTGGCAAGTAAGCACCCATTTAATGGTTCCTTGTTGTAGTGGTTAACTTTGTGTGTCCTCTAAAATTGTGATAGTGGCTGCGTGGGTTCGATCCCCTTTCGTAATCTTTTTTAAATCCTTTTCGCGATGTGTTTTTTTGGACCGAATAGCAAAAAATTCCCACTGTCAATCAATTTTGTTCCTCATACTCTCGACATCACTCGAGCCATGGATGACCCCGCTGTAGAGAATTTACTATGCGGCAGGGGACCCGGGTAGCAAGAACAACACAGCAAAGGAACATTTGACCTGGTAAGTACACAGAAGGTGGTGGTACGAAGGCAAACGGATAAGGATCCGTGAACGCGCGTACACTACGTAATATACGCACAGCCCCACAGTTGATCCGTGAGCTCGCCAAGCTTGCTCACGTAACGCCAAGCTTCCACACCCGCAGCAATATTCAATCAGTGCACCCAGTCCAAATGCAAGAAACTCATCCTCTATGTTGATGAAGACACCCCGGCAACGTGCGACACTTGCCGGGAATCCAGTAGGCAGTCACAACCTGCATCTCGGAAGCGGAAGCGCGAGCAAAAGCAGGCGGAGTCGGCGCAGAAGCGCACATGCGAGACTTCTGCGCACGATAATGAAACCACCCCGGTCCGATCATCCTGGATTGCAGTCGGATGACGAGGACATCAGCAGCGCAGTTCAATACACCGATCAGCAGTCGATGTTTCACGCGATTCGCGCCGCTTTCAAGGCCAATAAACATGTCCAGTTTCACGGTACCTGCCAAATCCCGGAGGACCCACTCGTGACGGATAAAGACGTCAAATGACTATATATGAGATTTGGAAGATTACAGGGTATAAATTTAGGTGCGTACCTCGACTAGACCGGTATAAACACGCATCTTATCAATTTTTAGGGTCAAACAAAATCACGAACAAAAAACTGGGCACAAAACCCGACTTTGGTGTTGCTAGGACCAAGCCCACAAACAGAAGGGTAGGCCCAGCCAGTGCGAGGGCGCTAAGCCACCTGATACACTGGGGGTGGATCGCTATGACTGCAAGAGCAGCCTGCGCGTTGCACGGCTTTCCGGGGACGTTGCTGGAGGAAAGAAGATCCGAGTTTACCTCCAACACCATGACGCACACCTACCTCATTACGACGTGGCCCTCCCGCAGGGTGCGGCCACAATCATTCGCGAACCTTCAATGGAACACCCCTGTCGAAATCGCCAGGCTTGCAGGTGATATTGTAGGTGCTATTGGTGTTACTGACCGAAATTTTAGTATTTTTTACAACGTGGGAAGAGAAAATAGGTCCGAACCTGAACCGGACCTCGCCGAACCTTGAACCTGGGTCCAGTCCAAGGCTCGCAAGATTGGCTGAACCGGAGCCTGGGTTCAGTTCAAGGTTCAGACAAAAAAGCTGTTACACTGGACCGAACCGGACCGCGACAACACTACTCCTGTGTTCCCTGTGCATATTTTTTTCAAGGCCAGCATCTGGGCAAATGGCTGGCATATATCCAAATGAGCACTTTCATGAACTAATCATTTCCGGCCTCTTCTTAACACGAAAACGTTCTCAGACCAGATCAATTCTATCTCCAAAACACTGCCAATTTTGTGCGGTCCTTTCTCCAAAGACCTCGATTTCGGGTCCCAAAATGGGAAGTTCCTTTGTTCTTTCCCCAAAAAATGAAGCTTGGTTTTCTTTCCAAAGTAGGTCATTTTGGAATCCATGTTCGGCGCCCAAATTGTGTCGTATTTTGGCGGGTTTGGAACATTGCTCCAGGTGGGAAGGTTTTAGGTCAGTTTTTCTTCTGGCGGGGAAGGTGGTCCCCGACAGATAAGCGTGTTTGGTCCCCAAAATCCATCGACGGCAGCTGAGCCCGATGTTCGTCGGAAATACGCAGAGATCACCATTGATTGCGAAGCTTGATCATTATCAAAGTCTTCTCGATCGAGGGACTCTCGCTGTGCGCGTGGTCCGCGCCATTGATATATCACTCGGGGAAGGGCGTTATTTCGGGGCGCCCGGAAACGTTTCCGAAACTTAAAGTTCCGGAAAGGGATCCGGGATTGCCGAAACCTTTCAGTTTCGGCAACAATTCCGGGAGAGCCGAAACTAAAAATTTCGGGTCGGCCGAAATTGATTCCGAAACTTTTGATTTCGGGGCGGCCCAAACTAATCGGCCCGCGCCAGGGGTCTCCTGAGACTAAAAGTTCCTGGATCAGTTCCGGGAGAAGCCGGAACTTTTGGTTTGGGAAACGGTTTCGGCCGACCCGAAACTAAAAGTTTCGGAACCCGTTTCTACATTCCCGGACCCATTCCAGAAACTTTCAGTTTCGGCAACGTTTCCAGGCACCCTGATTCAACAGATTCCCCGAGTGTATCTTGGCCGGTAACCCGCTGAATAAAACAACAGAAACAGGAAGAACGATGCCACGTACTGTCGCTCTCACCGGGGGCATTCACCCACGCATGTGAAACCGGTATGCCTTAAAGGCATGTGGTTCGCATGTCGTCAATCCGTGGCACAAAGGTGTCAATCACCTTTGTCCCATCTTTCTTTTTGCCCCTGAGTCACTCAGTCTGTCCTTCAATCCTGACCTCCACAGCAGTTGTCCTGTCCTGCTAATCAGCTTCGAAGCGCGTCCGGCTTCTCGCTATCTCGTCGGCGCTGTATTATTACATTTCAATCACCCTGATTAACTGCCTTTCAAAATGTATGACCTGTGTGTTTACAGCAGCGGTCCCGCCCAGCCCACCCCCAGCCCACCTCAGTTCTCCCTGCCCCAAACCACTCAATGAGTGCGGAACAGATCCAGACCCAATTGTCCGTCCTCGCATCCTTGTCCCCTTGAAATGCGCTATTAATCATCCCGGTTTACAGGAATTCAAACGCCTACATCGATCTAG